GCCGTGGTATCCGCGAGCCTCTTCGAGGAAGTGGCCGCGATTTAAATGTCCCCCTCTCGGGGACTCTCTTCGACGACGGGCAGCGAGCACCACGGGTACAGCGGGGACAGGCTAGACTGGTTCTGCTTCCCCGATGCCTCGTGTCGCTTCGGAGCGCTCGTTCGATCGGCCGCGCTCGCTCGGTTTTCGCTGGGGGCACTTCCAAGGCATCCACCCTAAGTACCTTTTATTCGACGTCACAAAGTTTCAGACGCGCGCGGCCCCCTTCCGAAGCCCGGCCCGAGCGGAGACGGCGCCGACGTCTGTGAAATTTCCGCGACACGTTCTCGGGAGATCCTCTCGCGTTATTTACGAACGGCGAGGAAGACGCGAGGGAGGCGTTTCTTCCGACGTGTCGCGTCGTTTCGCGTTTCATTCGCGACCAGGGATTTACTTCCTGCAAGGAAACCGAGTTCCCTCGGACGCGTCGCCGCCGGTGTGTCAGCGCTGCGCGCTGCAGCTACCTCCCGGCCTCGTGAATCATGGTTACTCAGCCGTCCCGTGATTCGATTCCACGGTCCGCGCGATCGGCGATAACGGATGGGAATAACCGCGCGAAACGCGTTATCGTCGGTCAATTAGGCGACGCCGATGCCCGCATTGTAGTAGCGCGTTGCCGGCCGACAGCCTACATACTTTCGCGCACCTTTGACCCGACGTTTCCCTGGTTCCCCTTCTACCCGGCGATCGCTCTCTCTAATCTGCTTTCTCGAGCCACCTGGGAAATTCGCCGCGAATTCTGATCGGACTCTGATTCATCGAGCTCGTTCAGGAATTCGCTTCTGCTCCATGGACTGGGAGAGCTGACCGTTCTCGCCGGGCCGAACCGCCGAATACCAGCGTCGAATCGATAGTTAGGATCGCGTCAATCTCCGGGAACTTGAGCTCAAACCCGAACCATTACAGGAAATGATTCCCCCCAGACGCGAGAGGGATCCCCTCGCACCTATTTCTCGGCGAGGCGAATAGTTGTAGATACTTTCTCGACGCGTTACGGCTGCACCCGAGGCGACGCGTTAATCCGTCATTCCGGTTAACGAGTTGAACCGTATCGCGTGCGCTCGAGTTAGCCGCGGCTCGCAAACTTGTCGCTTTGACGCCGCGAGAACGGCTCGCGGTGGAACGCGAATCCGAGCACGGGATCTCCCGAGATCCCGCCGCTCGCGCCTCGATCCTCCGTCCGCGGTTTCTCGTTGGCGAACGCGCGCTCTGCAGCAACGCGCCATTGTAATTGTATCCCGGATGAAAAGCTTGCGCAACGTTTATCAGACACGGGGGCGGGCTGGCTGCTCGGGATTTACGGGAGACGGGAAGCAGCGAGGCGCAGCTACGCTCCGGAGTGGCTTCTTTTAATTAAAGAGAGGACGGCACTTTTCAAGCATCCCTCTCGGACGATAATCCCGCGGCCCCGTATATTCCTCGTAGTTACGCGAACTCTAGCTGTCGTCGCAGGCTCGCAGTCTCCGCTCTCCTGCCCCTCCTCCTCCCTCGCGCCGCTTTATTTGCCGATCTTGGAACGGCCGAGTTACGATTACTCGCGCGCAACCCGGTTTCCGTGACGAAGCTCGCGAATCTACCTAAGTTTCCGAGGCTCGCTAAGTCGAACTCGCGACGCTTTTCTTCCTAATCCTAAAATTCTGACGAATTTCAACGAGATTGGACGGATCCTCCTCCAAATCAACGAGATTGATTTAAGATTCGAGCGAATACGAGTTCCAGCTGTAAACGTCCGAGTATACCGGTTCACTTCGTCGCGTCACGTGCTCCTAGAATTTCCTACTCGACAGGGGGTCTCGGTTTCAGTGCTGTTGTAAATGAATATCCCTTAATGTGTATACGATCTATCTAAGCGAGCAGCACGCCCTACTCCGTGTACGCTTTACCGCGTATAAAAGGTGGTATTGTGTAAATCGTTGGACGGTCCTCGTACGCCCCCGCCCGGGCCCTTCCAACCTTCGGGAAACACCTCTCCGAAAGGCTAACCACTCAAGCCTAGACGCAATATTACCGCCGGTTTCCAACGAGGACCGACGCGCACCTGAAAGCTCAGAGACACTCCAGTCTCGGAGCGACCGTGTATCTTCCAATTGAAAACTTCCGCGCGTGCAGCGCGTAACTTTGTTTTTCGCGGCGCCGACGCCTCGTTACTCGAATCGGAGTGCTTAGCCGGCAGCTCGCGGGGAGATGGCAGAGTGGAAACAAGGTTGCGGGTGGCCCTGCATCGAATTACGCGCCGGAAAGTCCCCGGCCGGGGGCGGAAAATTGAGAGAGAAACACCCGGTAGGAAGTTGCGAGTGCTTCGAAAATGTCCCGGGTCAGAAACCGGGGAGTAAAGTGGAAAGTCCATACGACGCGGCGAGGGCCGGCGGGGCGGGGAGCGACGCGGCGGGAAAAGAGAAAGAAAAGGGCGCAGGTCGGCCAGCGCGGCGCGCAAAGGGAGAAGTTGAACTGTCATTGACTCCCTCTCCCTGCACCTCGATCGCTCGCGTTCCGCGCTGAAAGCGTTCCTTGTGCTCTCCCGGCTACAGTGGCTTTCAGGGCGCGCTGACGCTGTCCAGAAGCCGGGCCATCGCTTGAAAAAGCCCCGCAGAGCGCGCCGACGATTTTCTATCTGCGGTCGCGTTAATAATCGCTCGTGAGCCACGGCCCGGGCTCTAATGGTTCGAAGAAAGGGACCGATTCACTGGCCGATGCTTTTCCCTCGAATCCTCGTGACCGTTAAGTCACCGATGCATTCGCGATTTCTTTCCCTCGCGTCCGCGTTGTTCAACCTCCGTTTCGTAACGTCGCCGTCTCGCTCCGGGAACACCGGGGAATATCGACTCGATCGATTCGCTCCTCCGCGTCTTCTTTCGCCCCCGTTCTCGGGAGTCCCGTCGTTCCGCGTCTCGCCCGCAGCGGAAGAGCACTGCTAACGACCGAGTCCCGAATAGCTCGCGTCGCGAGATCGATACGCGGCATTCCCCTGTCGCCGTAACTAAATTCCGCGCCGGCGAAACTTGCCGTTGCTCTGTGTACGTAAAACATTATCGCGCAGCTCCCGCGAAATATCGAATTGGCCGGGATAGTTCGGAAGATCGTCGCCGTCGCGTCGGAAGGCCCCGATAGTTGGCTGGAAGTTCGGCGAGATCCTGGAGCGACGTCCTGGGAGGAAGCCGCGCGCTCTAATTCCGGGACACGGCGGCTGGCAGCGTTCCCCGTCAATGATAACGCGAATAAACAGAAACGGGGGCCGCGGGGGGAGAGCCGGAGCGGTGTCGGTTCGTGCGCCGCGGGCTTCGCGTGGCTCCGCGGGGATCCGCCGCCGCGGATGCATTCGGTTACGAGCCGCGGAGCCACACGTGGTATAATGCGCGCCGTATGCCGATACCCGGCCGAGATAAAGTACTAGGAAACGAGCCGAGGCTAGGCAGAGAACCGACGCGCAACAACCCGGCGTCGTGCATCGCGATCGCCATAACGTATCGGCTGTTTCAAAGTTGCCCGGGATCCCGTACACGGCATCGCCGTGCTCGTTCGCCGGGCATTCTAGGAATGGACCCTCGCGGACGCGTTAAACGCGTGTTTCGACGAAACGCGGCGCACAGTGATCGTCTGTGCCCGAAACTCCGAAAATTCGACTGCTCCGACATATATAAATTCATCGAAATCCTAACGAATTCACGGTGCTGGGCAGTCGTAGCGAGAAAATCGAAAGCGTTCGAGGAATTCGAGTGTTCGAGCGACTAGAGATCGATACGCGATTTCTTCTGTTCTAGCGTTTCAAACTTGCTTGCGTAATTCAGTTTTTGTTGGAAACTGGTTCTAGAACTCGAACGAATTCTCGTCCGAAAAGGATTAAGTTATCGTAGACGCTGACGCGGAATCTCCGGAGGTTTCTTCGCCTCAGAGCCGGTCTCCCCATCGCGTTTCGAGGGTATTTTAGCCTGCGCATTCAACGGAAAGAAACCGGATTGTTATTATTGTATTTTCAGCTATACGCCGCGGGCTTTAAGAATCGGGGATTACCTCGTTGCAGATGTTGACGCGTTCCTGAGATACGAGGGACGTAATACAGTGAAATAAGTAAGGTCGAGTGCCAGCTACTATACAAACTATTCTATCTCTCCTCCAGCGCGATATCGTTTTATATACGTTAGTTTAATTCGACTCTAGGTTAATTCTCGTTTTTAGGTCAGGTATTAAAGCGACCTTTGCCTTTTCATCCCGACGCGGCCGTATTAAAATCATTGCCGGAGGAAATAAACTTGAGCGGTGAATTGCACCGGGGAAATGTTGTTTTGTGCAGAGATCCGCCGCCGCGGAGGCAGCGCGCCGAGTGCTCGTTCGGTTCATTCGAACGTTCATCTCGTAATACGGCGTCAGGCTCATCGCAGAAATCTCGAATAAAAGGTATCGCATAGACAAGACCGTTCCATCGAGGATCGCTCGTCCTAACGGGCAGACGCGAGCATCGAGCGTAGAATCCTCCTCCGTGTCTCGGTGGATTATTAACGACGGAACGGTTCAGGCAGCCACAATTGCGAAAGAAAACCTAGCACAAGGGATTAATACGCCAACCATGTTCGAGCTTCCACTCCTAGAAGGTTTCTAGCCCGAACCAACACACTCTCGCGGCAGCGACAAGCCGCAGCGGCCGGTTCGAGCCCATTCTCCTCCCACGCAGCGCGCTCTTAGCGTGCGTGCGTGCGTGCGTGCGTGCGTGCGTGCGTGGTGGGCCACGTGCGTGCGATACGAGGCTCGCGCACGCCCACCGGCTACGTGACACGGATCACCGGCCGGCTCTCTGTGCCCGGCACTCTCATACATATTCATTCGCATATGCGTCCCCCGTAATCTAGTTAACGTGGCCGCGCGACCCGCGCGCGTCCGCGGCCCGTTCAATTTGTAACGTAGACGGATATTTGTATTATCGTCCCGCGCCTCGCGCGCGTCGCCAGTACGTATCGGGGACACGTCGCAGTCCCTCGCGCGGTTTTCCGATCAGCGACGCCGCCGCCGCCGCCGCCGCGTAATTCCATTTCGTTCGATTTCCTCGAGCGTGAAAGCCCTTTTACCGGTGTCGCGCGCCTCGGAAAACACGGGGGCGGAAGGAAAGCGCGTCTCGCGCGTTTAAATCCGAGCGGAACCGGCGGCCGACGCCTCTGCCGAGCCAAACAGGGTCAGGCGAACGGTTCCGCGCGTGGCTCGGGATGATGTAATTGCGCGTTCGCGGAAAAACCACGGCCGCGACCGTTCCCGAGCGTCGTTTTCCGGGGCGGGCGCGATCCCCTCGCGAAATCCGGTTTATAAATAGACTGGATCGCGTCGGCCGTCCATCGGGGGAGGAGTAATTAGATCGATCCTCCGTTTAACGGTGCATCGCCGTCCCTCGTTCGAGCGAGTCGCGTTAATCGAGCCCGGGTCGTCTTACCGAACCCGCCCACGCGGATCGGTAGGTGAGACGGCGTAACATCGCCGCGGGATTCTTTGAAACGGATCAAAGCGGCGATCGAGATAACGGAGAGCGCGAGCGGACCGGAGAGAAACCGGCGGACCGGACGGATAGGAGATAGAGTCGTAAGGATTAGCGAGCGAAGCCTCGCGACGTGGGTGGAGCGCGGCGATAGCAGCCGCGGCGGGCTTGTTAGCACGAACGCACCCTAGGGAGCGAAGCGTGTCGCGTGTACGTCTAAATATAAAGTCGACGAAGTCGGTGGAAGAGGCGCGAGAGCGCGAATCCTCGCCGCGCGGTGTAACCACCTAGTCAAAACACTCCTCTGCGTCGCGAGCGAGAGTCGAGTCGAGTCGAGCCGCGTCGAGCCGCGTCGAGCCGCGTCGGCTGGTGCAGCTGCGCTCGCGGTTTGCCGGAGCCTGGCCGATTCCGCGATCGCGCTCCAGTTTCGCGTGGAAATTCGCCGCTTTCTCCTCCGGGATCGTTCGAATCGTCGAACTGCTCTTTCTTTCCGGTCAGGATCGTCCCCGCGACGGATCGCGGGCGGAACTTGCTTATCGCGCGGCGAAAGTGTGCCACCTTCGGTAAATATAATTGCGGATCGCGTTCCGCGGCGAGTCGAACTCTCGGACGACGCGTTTACGACGACGACCTTGGAGTGCCGGCGAACAAGGGAGGAGGACCCGTGCTATTTTCGAGTGGAAATCCAGAGACGCGCGTCCCGTTTCGAAGCGCGCTCCCGCGTAATTGCCCGGTTCGCGCCGGCCGGCCGGTCGATCGGGGGTGAAATCGATTCGAACTGCACGACCCCGCTCAAACAGATATTTTACAAACCAGCTCCGCTCTTCGACGTCTCCGCGTAATTGCCCGGTTAATTAATTTCTATCACTCCAGATTCCCGACAAAGCCATCGTGCTCGTCGAAGCCAATCATCGCCCTCTCTCTCTCTCTCTCTCTCTCGGTAATTAAAGGGGTAGTCCGATAAAAACGGAGAGCCTTCTCTTCCGACTGGTCTCGCTCAAGCGATCACCTTTCTCTCGAAGCTGCGCAGTTCTCGATCCTCCGGAGCACGGGGGAGGCGCGGAAAAATCGGAGAAACTAAAAGATGGAGGAGCGCAGCTGTCGCGGATGGATCTCCCGACGCACACGACGCGACCTACTTGCCGTCCTTGCCCGCGTCATGCTCCGGCGAGATTTTACGACGGGCCGACGTTAGTCTCCTCGACAGCGGGCTGCGGTTGTTGGTCAGTGGGTGGCGTCGGGCCGGAGTTTCCCGGTCGAACTCGTGAAAGGGCCATTTGTTCGAAGGGCTCCGCGGTCGGCTATTAGCCGCGATCGTTCGAGTCCCCGATCCGACGAGTCCTTCGAGGAATCCCGCGGTCGCCGAGGGCCGGGAACCGTCAGACGTAGTCTCCTGTAATTAATTATTCCCGGCGAGTCGCGGGAACGTTCGAATTAACGAGGCCGTCGGCCCGCGACCGGCCGGGGAGGCCTTAATCGCTTTAAAATCGAGCCGTCCCAGAAACTCCTCGGGCCATCTGGCCGAGCGCGGCCCCGGCGCGCACAAAGGCGAACAATAGCCGCTTGGTGGACGATGAAGCGGCCGTTGTTCCCCGGTTTCCGGCGGGCGATGCGACGTCCCCGGCCGCGTATCGCGGTTATTACGAATTAAAACCGGCTAATTCGGTGCCCGCTAAAACGGTCGGACCGCTGGACTATTTTCAGGCCGTAACGCGACACTTCATTCATAATCTCTCCGGGCGTCGCGGCGCGATCCGCTCGCCGACACCTAATTAAATCCCAGCTTCCTCTCGAACCGACCAACACTTTCGCGGAACTCTCGCTCGGCCGAGCCACTCGAGGACCCGGCGATCTCCCGGAGTTTTTCATCGGTGAAACCCTCCCCGGGCTTTCTTCCATTCCGAACGAAACCGAGCGAATCGAATCTCGATTAGCCGCGTAATTAACCTTCCATCCGGAGCCCGTGCGTCGAATAGCCGCTCGAGAGGGCCACTCTCCACGGTTAGTCGTCGGTCCGGAGAATCGAGGCGCGTCGACGATCGACGCCGATCCTCGATCCCCGGGTTCCGAGCGCGGAGCCCTAAGTGCAAACGCGTGTTTCCTGGGCCGGTCGGCCGCGCTTTCCGGCCTTAATCCGGCCAGGCTGTTTCCGCGGCGTCGCGCAATTCGGTCGGTAAATCAGGGTCTTCCTTCATCCGGCGGTGGTCCGCGCAGCGCGCGTCCGCCGCGATATAGCCGGATCAAGGGAGCGCGCTCGATTACGGGATTAAGCGGCTGAACGTGCGTCGCTCGTGGTCGCGTCCTCTTTCGCTCGGGCCGGAGCAAACGTTGCGGTAACCGCGAGCCCTCCTCGGGTTCCTCGATTCAAGATCGTTCCGGGAAACCCGGAGGAAGCGCTCCGATCGTCCGCGTCGAATCGCGAGGGAACCAGATGTCGAACGCGCCGGACCGTCCAGTGACCGATCAGCTGTTCCGCGGCTAGAACTGTGCGAGATCTCTGGAGCAGATGGAGCGGTCGCCGAGCGACGGTCGCGCGAAGAGGCTGTCCACGATCTCCGAGTACTCCGAGCCACCGATCGACGCCGACAATACCGATCCCTCGCAGCGCCGCGGGCAGGAACTCGCGACTCCCGTCGACCGCTCCGCGAGACGGCTCGAGGAGGAGGCGGCGCCGGTCGAGTACTTCCTCGTCGACGACTCGCCGATGGCGAAGTTCACCCGGAGCGTCAAATGGATCTACAAGAAAGTGAGTTCTCCCGAAACGTTTTACGAGAGCTTTTGCGCTTTTGCGCTTTTACCGTCCGCCAGGGCGGTCGTTTGCCCCCGATCGCTGCTCAGGTTCCCGCCTAGTCTGCAGACTCGCTCGCGGACATGGGACTCCGGGAAATATAGAAACTCGAGGGAAACATTGAACCGGGAATACCGAGACTCGTCGTTATCATCAAAGGTTCCCCTGTCTGAACTGTTCGAATCGAACCTTCGACGCTCCCCTTCCGGCCGTCTAATCGGATCAACGGAATCCGAAGCGATCCGCGCCGAGAATAATTCGTTTGCGGCCTTTAAAGGAGAAAAACGGAGCACGGGATCGATCTATCGGCGATCTGTCCGTATATAGATGCAGAAACGCGTCGCGCCCGGTGCAGCCCGGTGCAGCCCGGTGCAGCCCGGGCACAGCCTCGCGAGTACCCGACGACTGATCTGTAATTCAAGCAGAGTCGGGAATTTGCACGTCAAAGTCGCCTTATGAGTGGCCGATTGAGTCTGCCGGGCCTAATATGCATGCATACTCGCGCCGCGTCGCGCAGACTTTGCCGAGCCACCCCTCGCCTGCTCGTCTCCGTCGAATTATCATATCCCCGCGTCAACATTGACGTTTCTATCGCCTCCTCGCCTCTCGCGGTCGCCGACGATAGACGAGCGCCGCGCGGTGAAAGAAGCCATTAACCGCACGCAGCAGACGCCGCGCGCCTTCTTTTGTTCTGTTTTACTTTCTAGCTCCTCCAGCCGTGTCTGTTCGGGCCCCGGAGGAAACGTGTCGAGTCCGCGGCCGAGCCGCACGAAAGTCGTGACGGCATTCGTCCGCTCTTCCTCGGCCCTCCGTGTACACGCCGCGTTTCAAGTCCCGAGCCTCCGCGAGGCGCTCGGAGTCATCGGGCACCGTGTTCGACGAGTCATTGATCCGAACCGCGCGGCTTTTTATCCGGCCGCTGCGACGAGACCGCTCCATCTCGGTATTCCGATGCGCCGGGACTCCCATCGAGGGGCAAGATTAACTCGGCGCAACTGGATCGCTCGGATAATGGGAATCCGCTATTTCTAGCTCCTTTCTTTCGTTCTTTCGGTAACCGTATTTCCACTCCGCCGAAGATTCCTGCGTACAAACCGCGTGCACCGCGCTCTGCCCGAGCGAACCGAGTTGGGCCACGTTCTTTGAAGTCAGTCGCGAGGCGTATCGCTGAGCCCAGAAAACAACGAGCATCCCGCTGGATCCTATTCGCGTTCTCGGATACTGGACGTCATCGACCGCGTTGGATCGTTAATGAACCGGATGACAACATTCTCATCGCGACAGCGGCGCACTACCTTCTCGCCCGTGGCCGGGCCACGCTGAAACGCCCGTGGAACGCTCGTGGAACGCTCGTGGAACGCTCCTGGAACGCGGGAGCGACTCGGTCTAGCAGGAATTAAAAGTAACGTCCCCCTCGTAGAATCCTCTCGCCCTCTTTCCGCCTCTTGTTCGCCGTATTCTTGCTCCCCGGACGACCGTTTCGGCTCCCCCGCGTCGGGCAGGCCTGCGGCTCGTCTCCTGGAATCCCCTCGGATCTCCTCGCGTCGCGTTCGTCGGGAATGCTGGGATCGCGGGCCGGTGTGTGGCGTCTTCTTCCACGTCCTCAGAGCTACCTGTCGACCCAGCCCGCGAGACGGATAAAGAGAGCTACCTGTCGCGGAGAGGAGTCACGGGAGAGCAGCACAAAAGCGGCCGGCCGAGATAGACGGACCGGGGATCGGGAAAGCGCCGGAGAGACGGAGAAGAACGAGCAAGAAGAGGCCGGGGATCGCGAGTCGAGGGTCTTGGACCTAGAAACTCTTTCCAGCCTCCTCGTCGCTCGAGTCGCGGAGCTCGCTCGAGTGAATCTTAGGGGATGAAATGACCTATTTCGCATTGTGGTTAGCTTTTCGGTGTCTCGATGAGCGAGGCGGGCGAACCTCGAACGGCACTGCACCCCCTGAACACGCGCGAGGGCGATTCGCGAGGCGGAAGCTCCTCCGCGGAGGAACGCGTCGATATTCCTCGAGGCGGTCGGTCGCCGAGGCATCTGCCGTGAATGTTTACGCGTCGGGTATCGAGAGGCGAGTTAACGGGGCCCCCGGAAATCTGCTATTTGCCCATCAGCTGGAACGCGCGGACGCGTCGGCTGCTCCTGATGCCCAACTGAACGGAACCGAGCCCCATGGGTTCACTGGAATATTCATCGCTCGCAGTTCGAACCTATAGACGTTCCGATTCCTCTTCGGTTTCGCTCCCTTTGACGCTCGACTCCGCTTCGGCGAACGATTACCGAGGCTGACCCCGTTGCGGCCGGGCCACGGTTTACCTAATTAAAAAGGCTAAATCGCGTTGACGCGGTTTCGGCGGCCGTCCAGGGTTCGACGAACCCGACCGCGCAGGTCCGCGAGCCGAGTAATTTTCCCCAGGAAACGCGCGTAATCGCGAAATCAGCCGCAGCGTCGACGTCGTTGCCGAAAGTGCCGAAGCAATTTCCATCTACGTACTATTTGTCCGGCGCTCGCTGGCCCGCGAACCGATTAGAGTCCCGATTGAATCGCTGCACCGACGTTACGAAGTTAGCGCGCCGCTGACCGAATAGCTTCGACCGGTTTGTCGCCTCGTTGGACCCGTGATCCCGTCGCTGGAGACGAAACCGCGTTGTCCGAGGACACCGATACTCGACGGACCTCCGAGGAGTCGAGGAATCCGCGACGTTAACCTATACTGCGCAGGTGATACCTAAAATTTCATCGATCCGTAAGTTTCGTAAGACCCGAGGACGATTCGAAGCACCGGGGAAGATAATCGCGACGCCGGATTTCAAGTAAGACCTTGAAAATTGAACATGTCAGTGCCGTCGCAAGAAAAGCCGCGCACAATCACCATTTCCCCAGGCGAAATAACAGTGATTTAGAGACTCGTCCTACCCGTTCGAAGAACAAAAAACCACCAGCGGCGTCTACGGTGGTCTCGTGTTACGGGACCAATGAATCCCTTCGGCCCGAGAATCTCCTCTCGTTTTTCTCGTGACCGTGCGCCCTCCGCGTCGGCAACGTCCGCGCGGCAATCGAACAATTCCGGGCTGTCGGCGCGCACCGCTGTCATCGAATCTGCCCCGCAATTCGACACCCGCGATCGCGATCGCGATTTCTCCCCGCGCGGCATCCGATCTCCGGCCGTTTCGTGTCGCGGGCCGACCGCAGGGGAATCGGCCGGACCGGCCCGACAGCGAAACGCGCCCGAGCGAATCGATTTCAGGCCGGCCGGCGCGAAGTGTCGCGTTAATTGCGAGCCCCGATAATCACCGCCTCATTAAACGTCGCCGATCAACGCCCGTCCCGCAGAGACGTACAATAACGACAATCAAACCGGTCTCCGGCCGTAATTTCTAGCGCCGGAAACTGTCACCGTTTCGGCAGCCCGATGGAATGAAATATTCAAACGATCCCGCGACCGTTGCGCTTTTAATTGGAATCGCAGGATGGGGGCGTTCACCGGCCGTGTTCCGCTTGTTCGTTGCCCTGCAGCCGGAACTCCTTCGGCACCGCAACTACCAGCGGCCGGATTAACTCGCGTTTTCTCCGAAAAACTATAAAAAGGAACTCGGCCCGATCCCGGCCGCGATACTACGTACACGCGCGTCTATCTTGTCACGCGGCAACGATATTTCTCGCGTAACGGCTCTCTCAACCCTTTGGCCACGGCGGAACGTTGCGTCGACGGGCATTTCCGAGAAAGTCTATCGAAACCATGAACACACCGAGCTCAACCGAATTAAACCAATCTGAAATAATCGCATTAGAATTAGAATTTCTTTGCGCTGCAATTATCGCCTGCGGGCGCCAGCGGAACGCTCAGAGCGAATTTTCCGAGCGCCTTTAGGCGCCAACGGTAGCCAAAGAGTTAAAAACGGTGGACCACCCCCGGCCGACTCGCGCCACCCTAATTTTCGCGAGCGAGTTCGATCCCTCGTCTTTGTCGAACCTTAACGAGCTGTGTAGCGCGATAAATTGGATTCCCGTCGGCGAAGAGGGCCACCAGGCTGCTGCCGGTGCGAGACGGTAATCTCCTTGCGAAGCGAACACGTAAATACACGGGCGCCCAGGCCCGTGATTCGTCGGCGAGGAGCCGGGCTCGATTAATCATACGGTCTTACGGTGACAGCTTTTATGAAAGCTCGAGTCCTCGGCTTGTTGCTCCGCGATGCGGATCGATAGCCGTGATCCCATTGAAACCGAACGACCCTCCATTATCGAAGTTACACGAGCGAGCGGCGGCGGTGATCTCGTTCCGGGCTCCCCGCGTGTAATCCTTTAACGTGGATTAACGTCCCGGAGGTCCATTCGCGGTCCATGATACGGGCTCGCGGCCGCCCATTCCCGGAATAACGGATCGCCTTTTCGATGGGCCGTCGCCGGCGGTCTCGCGTGGACGAGCCATCGGAAAAGTCGGAGACGGGGGCGGATCGATGCGACGCGCGGGACTTCCGCGTCGACCGTGCGCGCGTTTTCTCACGGAATGACTTTCCTCGGCGGAGGAATGCAGACGGGCCACCGCCGCGACGAATCGAATCGAGTCGACCTCGAACCTTCGCTACGAAGAGAACGGATGGAATCGGCCGCAGGAGAAGGGATCGAAAGCGTGCCGATCGACTCCGCGCCTGTTTTAATTATTGCCGATGAATCTCCGGTCGTCGCTCGAAGCTTACGGGAATCGCGAGTATTCGGTATTTTTCTGTTGTAGAACGGAGCGCGCTCGGAGGCAAGCTTCTAAATTATCCGCTCATTTTCCACGCGGGTCCAAGTTTACCAGCCGGTGCGCTGAAATGTCAACCACTGTTTCCCTTCTCCCCGCTCGCACGAAATAGCTACGCTATATTGATTCGCATTTGGAAGTCGAGTGGAAACGTATTTCCCATTGATCGAGCGGACCTCGCGCTAATGCCTTCCGGCTCGAACGAAACACCGCGGTCGAGG